ATGAGTGCAATTCCAAAAGTAAGACCATCAGAACAGACAATGGAACTGAATACAAGTGTAATCAGTTTGATAAATTCTGTGAGGCAGCTGGAATTAAACATTAGTTGACCATTCCATACACACCCCAGCAAAATAGACTGTGTGAAAGAAAAAATAGGACCTTGATGGAGATGGCAATGTGTTTGATGATTGAGAAATCAGTTCCAAAAGAGTTCTGGGCAGAAGCTGTGAATACTGCCTCATATCTTCTTAATAGACTCCCCACAAAAGCTTTGAATATGAAAACACCATATGAGGCTTGGTATGGAATCAAGCCTGATGTTGCTCATCTAAGGGTGTTTGGTAGTATCCGTTACACACACATTCCAGACCCTAAAAGAGATAAGCTAAGTTAAAAGGCTGAATCTGGAATCTTGATTGGGTATTGCAACAATACTAAAGGATATAAGGTTTTCAATCATCAAACCAAGAAGATAATATCCAACAGGGATATCAAGATAGATGAAGAATCCTCATGGAATTGGGAGTCCAACACATTAATTCGATCACATGATCAAAGAATAGTTCCACAAAGAGATGAGGCTGTAATCAATGAAGAAGAGGATCCTGATGAAAACCAACCTGAAGTATTGGAAGCTAATCCTTTGGAAGCTGATAGTGGATCAGATACTGAGAATCCAGTACTAAAAACCAGTTCATTGGCTGATGTATATGCAAGGTGCAATTCAGCAATATTAGAGCTAACAAATGCTGCTGAAGCTGTAAATTCATCTGACTGGTTGGCAGCAATGGAGGAGGAACTTAAGATGATTGAAAAGAATGGAACTTGGAAGCTGGTAGATAGGCCAATGAACAAAAATGTTATTGGAGTCAAATGGGTGTTCAAGACCAAGATGAACTCAGATGGATCTATTAACAAGCTTAAGGCCAGACTTGTTGTGAAAGGGTATGCACAGCAATTTGGTATTGATTACTCAGACACGTTTGCACCAGTGGCAAAGTGTGAAACTATAAGGTTGTTGCTGGCTATAGCTGTTCAAAGAGGCTGGAAAATTCATCAGCTGGATGTTAAATCAGCTTTCCTAAATGGCTGGTTAAATGAGGAGATTTATGTCGATCAACCTGATGGCTTTCAAGTAGCTGGAGAAGAGGACAAAGTGTATCAGCTGAAGAAGGCATTGTATGGGTTGAAGCAAGCTCCAAGAGCCTAGTACAGCCGAATTGATGAACACATGAACAACCTTGGGTTTGTGAGAAGTGTCAATGAACAGACCTTGTACATGAAGAAAATTGAAGAAGAGTCAATCATCATTTCCTTATATGTCGATGATCTTCTAATAACCAGCAGTAGTAAGGAACTGATAGACAGAACTAAGGCAGAAATGATGAAGTCATTTGAAATGACTGATTTAAGAAAGATGAAGTACTTCCTTGGAATGGAAATTGACCAGACCCAAGAAGGCATTTTTGTGTGTCAAAGAAGATATGCCATTGAGATATTAAAGAAATTCAGTATGGACAACTGTAAATCAGTAGAAACTCCTTTGGTTCAAAATGTGAAACTGGTGAAAGATGATGGTAGTAAGAAGATTGATGGGAAGTTGTATAGGAGCTTGGTTAGTTGTTTATTGTATTTGACAATCACAAGACTTGACCCCACTTATGCTACTAATTTGCTTTCAAGGTTCAGGGAGGAACCAAGTGAATTGCATTTCCAGGCAGCCAAAAGAGTTTTGAGATATATCAAAGGAAGTGCTGATTTGGGAATCTGGTTTAAGAGGTCAAAATCCTGGAATTTAATTAGATACACAGACAGTGACTGGGCCGGATCTCTTGATGATATGAAGAGTACATCTGGATATGCATTTTATCTCGGAACAAACATTGTTTGCTGGAACTCGATGAAGCAAGAAACTGTTGCTCAATCAATAGCAGAAGCAGAGTATGTAGTAGCAGCAGAAGCAACAAATCAGGCACATTGGCTGAGGAAAATGCTGGAGGATTTGGATGCTAAACAAACTGAGGCAACTATAATTTTTTGTGATAATCAATCAGCTGTAGCTATGGTCAAATATCCAGTGTTCCATGGAAGATCGAAACACATTATCAAGTACCATGCAATTAGAGAAGCACAAGAAAATTGTGAGGTAAAGCTGGTACGTTGCAAAGGTGAAGATCAGTGTGCCGACATTCTAACCAAGTCCTTGTCCAAGGGAAGATTTGAAACACTTAGAAAGAGTCTTGGTGTTTCCAACAAAAGTGTCAAGGAGGAGTATTGATGTTGGTTGCCACTTTTGTTGTCACAATTGTCGAGTCCTTAAGTATCAAGTATAAGGCTAAGCTATGTTTATTTTGTTGTCAAGCCCTATGTATTTTGTAATGATTATAGGGAGCAGTCCTTTACATTTTTCTGATGTATAGCCTGCACCAGCATGTCTTTATGTAATGATGTAATGTGTGTCCTTAAGTAAAGATGTAGCGGTAGTTGGTAGAAAGATGTGCTGAACATCTGTTTTATATCTCTTGTAAATTAGTTTCTTACTAATGGTTGAATAAACCTATTCACTTCAGAAAATCATCATCCTTTTCCTCTTCATTTCGAATTCTGATTAACACTATTCCATCTTGCAGAACCAAGTCCTAGAACAAGGAAAAAATTTTGTTTTTTTCAATTGCTGAAATTTAATTGTTTGATTTCAGCAACAACCAGAGTTTTTTTTAAGAGTGAAGTGTGGATGAAGAAAGTGTTAGATTTATTTAAATGGATAAATTCCGGTTATTCGCACATACTTTAAAAACACATATCTTTTAGATGTCTTTGGCAATAGATACGTCTTGGTCTATTTTCAAGTATTTTTCTATTCTATTATGAGGAGTGTAATCTCTTAACAGATTGTGATCTCTTAATACCTAGTTCTCGAACTCCACTAAGACGGAAAGTGTTTTCTTCTTGTGTCTCATTAGTGATTGTGGACACCCAAATGAGAATGGTTTGGGTCCTCACTCCTAAGGACATAGTCGTGTCCTTCTAGAGGTCACCTGTATCTGCAATAGAGCGCGATTGCAAGCAAGACCATCATTGAGTCCGCGCCCAAGTCATATCTCGATCAGAGGACTATCCTTGCTCGGGTCAGGGGTCGTGTTCGGTTGATTTACACACAATCACGTCTTCAAGAAGGTTAGAAGTGTGGACTTTGCTAACTTTAGGATGTGTCAACCAAATAGAAATCCGTCAAAATATTTTCCTAATCCACCTAAACTTGACCAAAATTCAACTTTCAGTTACCGTCCATCCATCCATCCATTTTTTTTTTTTCCAAACTGTATAATATAAAATTCAGACAAGCAGACTATGATTCCAAGGAAGTGCTTACATTTTATTACTTTCTGCTCTCCAATGCTGATATCACTTACAGCTATATATAAATTTCTGGTAGCAGATGCTAGCATCAGATTGGTTTATGTTTGGTTGTTTGGCCGGCTAACTCTGAATAAATTATAATTATTTCAGAATCTCCATAACAAGAATTATGACATTCAAGCATAGTGATTTTTCTGAATAGGAAATGTTTCAAACTGTCTGTAGCTCCTCACGTTTATCAAATCTCTGTTTCAGTAATAGAAAAACGGTAATTAGTGAAAATCTGACATAATCGTGGTAGCCATCATAATGATAAGACGCTTCGCTCTTATACCACTATTTACTAATTGTCACTCTTGAATTATGTATTTTCTTTCTTCTTCTGTTCTCCAAGAAACTGTAATCTTGGAATGCCTAACTACAAATGAAAATATTCTGATTGGGGATTAATTATTAATAGGAAAGACTCTTTCCCAGGTTTTGAGAGGACAAGATATGGAGCATAAAACAAGAAAAAGTGAACATTGTTTTTGTCCCAGTTAAGCCTGAGGCTTAAATACGTAATATAAGCACGCGTAAATATTGTTGTTTACCAGATTTCGAGGATAATCAAGGTAATCTCTGCTCGAGATCTATAAGGGAAGGAATCTTAAAATTGATAAGAGTTAGTCGATACACCAAATCCTCTGAGGTTGGACAAGATTGTTCTCTTGTTCTTTTATCCTAGGTTTCTCTACTGGTTCAAATTTGAACATATTGTCACAGGTTCAAGTACAAACCCCAGTGAAGAGGCTGTGCAGAAGCCACAACATAAATCATATTTAATGGGACATTTCCAGGTCCAACTCTTACAGTAAGAAATGGAGATACACTCGTCATCAAAGTCTCGTTACAATGTCGCTCTCCACTAAATAATGAATTTCTAAATTTTGCGTGCATTAATCTATCAAATATATGTATCAAAAAGCATGCCCCTATTGCTCTCTTTCACTGTTTGTTTTTGCATCTGGCACTAAGCTGGGTCATTGTTAATAATACTAGAATTAAGAAAAAGAATGATTGGTAACACATTAAAAAAAATTCGAGTTTGATGCAGTCATGATACAAACACCTGCACTCATTGCCAATCATTTTGTTAGGATGTAACCTTCTCACCCGGCATGGAATCCGACTGATCGACCGCCTCATGCTGATGGTCCAGAGTGTGTTATATAATGTCCTACTAAACTTGGAGTAACTTATATTTCCAGTTCACAATCGAAAACCAGGAAGGTACATTGGGGAGGCATGCTCATACAAGATGGCTAGGGCCACCGTATATGGAGCCCTTGTTATCTTCCCAAATCTGACTCCTATCCCTCTCCAAAACCCCAATGTACAAGTCCCTATTATTCTTGGTAATTAACCAATTTTAGCCTCCCTTTATTTTGATTTTAAGAGGACTACTTTTGAGTAATATATGCTCATGTACATATAAATGTAAACAATGAACACATTATTGATGCCATGAGACAGGCCATATTTACCGAAGCAGCTCTAAATGTTTCTGATGCATACTCTATCAATCTGCGGATAGAGTTTTTCTCAGAGTTATAAACTCAATCAACAAATGTACCTCATTTCATCTCAGGATTATAAAGCCTCAGAAATTGAAACAAATTGATTGATAACAAGCTTCAATGAAAAAGTACAAGTTACAGGTGTAAAAACAGAGCCCAAGAAAAAAGAAAAAAAGAAAAAAGGAGGCCATAACAAACTAATTATTTTGTCAAATGTATGCCCTTCTAGAAAGTCATTCCACAAAAGAACAAAGCCAGTACAATACCCTCGAATCGGCACTCGAGGCTACTAATTGAATCGTCTTTGAGAATTCGATTTGTTTGTTCAAAATTTGATAACCTAACCCTTGTTGGGAATATCATGGGAGGATCTTTCGCCGTCGGCGAGGAGTCTCTCTCTTCACAAACATCTTCTCAAATTCATTCAAAGGCCTGCTGGAGCCATCGGCTATGCTAATGAATTTCCAGCCACCTCCATTACCTCGTTTGCCTTTGGGACCAAGTTTCTCCACCATGAAATTCCATCCTTCAGATGGACGTCTCCTGCTGTATTTGTGGCATTTCACCTCCTTTGCTATCTATAAATTACGTAGAATGACATTGTTGTTAAAAGAAGTATCGACTGAAAATTTGAAACCCTAAAAATAGAAAATGATACTCAGAAAGCATTGTATACATTACTCAAAAGAATTTGCACGTTTACCTTCATCTTGTTGAAGTTCATCCTCTGAACAAACTCTTGGTACAAAATTTCATCCTGTTTCGTTGAGATCTCATAATGCACCTCATCTGGGTCTCTAGTGGTACCATCCCAACCCTCAGGCATGACTTTGAAATCTGGCTTATACGGCAGGGAGGCGACATGGAACTCCCTATCATGTGAAATGAAAAATCTGCAGACAGAAGTATCCAGAAAAATTACTCCATGATAGATTACACTCCAGCACGTCAAAGAATTTAACCGAGTGGATAGTAACAGACAATAATCAGCCAGAAGCAACATACACTAAAAGAACTGTTTAAGTCTATTGCTTTGCCAGGAAGGCAAGACAAACAGGCAACATGGTCCAAACCTTGCAAAGAAGACAAGTTGGCCAATAAAAGTATGGCTGGCCTTTCCAATGTGGAGAGAAAGTTAGATCGATCACATTTGAACAAAACTACTAGGAAGCAGTTACAAACAATATTCATACTAAAATCTCAGAGTTCGCAGCATATGTGCTTGTATCAAACACTTACATTTTCCACTATGTCGTCAACACAACAATAGGAGTCAAAATCCAAGTTTGTCAAAACAACCCAAAGTAAGTTACGTGAAACTTTCTAATCATCAGATGATTTTTCTGACAACAACACAGCTATAAATCACCAAAATGCAACAAAGTATTACAGCACATGGGTACCTATAGATGTGCATGAGTGGTCATTATTTCAATAACAGTACAACTTACTACCAACTACCTCCTGCATATTACTGACAAATTCAATAAAGATAGTAACCAACCAATCCATTTGGCTATTGGAGAATTAACTTAAATGGGAGATCATCAAACACAAACTGTCAACATAAGCCAAAAAGAAGCCAACCTTTGGCTTATTTTCTAGCAATGAGCTAAGCCAAACACGCTGATTAGCAATTACACATAGCATGTACAACTATGAAGTCAAAGAGCACATCTAATCTTTTCATTCACTTACTCTGGGCAGGTATCGAGCAAGAGCTCGACAGAGTCATCGAGCGGGCGTCCAAGCTTCTTCTCCTCCTCCTCCTCCTCAAGCTCCTTCAGCCACAAAATCGCATGCACCCTCTGCCTCATGATCCTGTATTCCTTTGCCAACTTTTCCACGGTGTACAACTCCGGGTTTTCCTTGTGCTTTTTATACATCTCTGACCTCTCTGAATCCTTCAGATATGACCCTCGTGCACCTGGCTCCCTCACCTGCACTTGCATTTTTTTAAAAGCATAACAAAATTATGTTTTTTTTTTTTTTTTTTTACATAAATCAAAGTTTTACTATTCACCTATTTGATCACTATCAAAACAGGGAAAGAAGAAAACGTGCATAGACGAAAATTGAATTGAGTAATTTTTCCCATTCCGAAATCTGGGTTTTTCCCTACAAATACTAACGGGGGTGTCCCCATTTTAGAGTTTAATATATTTCTTAATATTTATAAATTCTCATAGATTGTGTGTAATTTGATAGAATTTAATAGATTCCATAAAATTTGAATGGATTTCTATTTTGTAGATTTTAAAAGATTTTCATGGATTTTATAGATTTCAATGGATTTTATGAAGTAAAATTTATAAATATGCTTAAAATAAGCCACAAATTTTTACTTCTTCTTTAACGACTCATTCTTACACATATTCACGTTAATAAATCACAGAAAATGATTGAATCCTTGTTCAATTGTGTGTTAAACATTGAATATTATAACAGAGCTTCAATAAAAAATACACTCAATATTTAATAATATGCGAGAGTGGGAAAGGACAAAAATATGTAGTGTTAAATAATCAAAGTCGCAATCAATATGAATTAGTTCAAAAGGCCACAACCTTGTGAGATACAAACACACAAATGTACACATACATGACCACAAGGCAATTAATTTCATACCTCCAGAATTCTCATTGACCATGCAGACACAAAAGAAAAAATTGTGGGATACTATCCTCACATGCCTTCGCTAGGATTTGCAGGTATATATAGAAAACACATAGCTCTTCCCAAGAAAAAGGAATAGGGTACAGAACTTGAAAAACGAAGTTGTTCCAGATGCATACTAGAAATCGTAAATTACCATAATAATTTCCAGCACATCTATAAAATAGTAAACATATAGCTTCAATAAGAAAAAATAAGTTCAATAAAAAATCACACCCAATATTCAACAAAAAATAGTAATCTTTCATAAATTATCATCAACTGAAAAGTTCTCATACACGATCTTTTCACAGTAGAGAAATGTGAGATAGAAAGAAGAAAGGAATCTTGTTGAAGATGAGGGGGGGGTGGGGGGTAGATAGAGAGAGAGCAGCAAATATCGAGAGAGGTGAGAAATGTTGTGAAATTTTTAGGTTTGGATTAAAATTGTTACTGATTCTTTGTACTTATATTTTTACCTTGAAATCCTTCAAAATCCTTCAAAATCTATCTATTTAATGAAATTTTTTTAAATCAACTAGTTATTGAGGACATCTAAATTTCAAAACTACCTATTAAAATCTATGTTGAAGATACCTAAATTTATAAGTATTTTTAAAAATCTAGATTGGGGACACCTATATTTTAATGAATTATATTTAAATCTGAATTGAGGATACTTCAGTTTATATGGAGTTTTAAAATCCATCAAACTCTAGATTGAGGATACCCCCCTAAGTTACTGTCAAAACTGGCAAAATAACATCTAGAGACTGGAAATCAAATTCCCAAAGAAAACAAACTTGTCTCAGAATATACTCCTTCCCCTAGTGAACCCTCCAACAATACAAGAACGCACACAGGCAAACGCCACACATTTTCCCATTTGTCAGTTTTTCTGCAGTAATTAATCACATTAAGAGATTAGAAGTAACTATAACATAAGAGATTGGGCTCTGTTATTTGAATATTACTTCAAACACATGAAATAAACATTAATGAAGAAATTTGAACTCTGGGTTTTGTTCTCTATCCATCAAATTACTGAAAATTGGAGAAGATAAACGCAGACAAATGATAAGAAAATAAAAAAAGTATATCAGCTATTTTACCCGTTTCAGCAGTTAAGTCATTTCTTTCATTCTATCATCCCAGCCATCCACAAAAGCCTTCCCCCTGCGGTTCTCCGACTCCAACTCCAACTCCTTAACCTTCGCCAACTCCATGTCCATCCACCTAGCCTCGGAATACCAGTTCCCAGTCCGATTCTGACTCGATACACCGCCCCGATTCTGATCCGAGCCACCGCCATTGGTCCGACCTCTATCAGAACCAGGTTCCACCTTCTGTCCAATGACTTCACCGTCAAAGTGCTCCTTCGTTAGCCCAGTAGACCACGAGGACGGACCCACGTCCCATCCCAACGGGTCGGAATCGGACGACCCTGTCCCACCGAAATGGGCCGCCCAATCGGGTTCGTTCTTGTTATTATTGCCGCTTTCATTTTCAGTGGAAAAACATTTTGGTAAATTGGATGAAACCCCGAAGTTTGGGGTTTTGATGTTGGTTTTAATAGATAGTTGGGTAAATATGCGTTGAAGGGATTGCATTTTCTCCTCTTCTAAAACCTATCTTTCTGATTGAACTGCAAAATGAAGAAGATCACAGACTTGATTTCTTTGAAATGGGTCTGGTTAATTCGATCTCTTGTATTGGTAAGGGAAATCTTGAAAGTGTGGATGAACTACATTTCGCGGTTTGATAGCAGCATTCAGGGTTTCCAACGAAACGGGTCAATTTTGAAGTGCGGTGCAATTACTTCAAAATATCATTTCTAATGAGTAAAATGTTTGAATAATCAAATGTTGAACCCCAATGTTGAGAGTCCCACTGTTCAATCTCTAGAGTTTGGTGAGGGAGGTAAATTATGGGATGTGCTCCAGCAGGCCCTGAAACAAGAGTTGCATATACACTACGCCTATAGAGAGTCTAATTCCATGTTTTAGGAATCGAACTCTCATACTGCGGCTGTCAGCAAGGAGTGAGATAACCTCACTTTTGTCCTTTGCACCACTAGGTTATGCCCCGAGAGGCATAAAATGTTTGAATAAACACTTAGAATCCGTTTGATTGCAAATATAGAATTGAATTACGTAGAAAACGAATTCCAATTAATTGAATTGCCTAGAATTATTTTCGTGGGAATTGTAAATTATTGTGTTTGATTAGTATAATTTTTCACGTGGAAAATGTTGAAATAAAAGTGTTTTTTAATGTTCGTTTGACTTTATTTTACATGAAAATTGTCAATTAAAGAGAAATATTTTTTTAAAATAATTCTTAGAATTGGTTTCCATTACCAACCAAAAAAAAAAAAGACGAAAAAAATAATAATCGCTACTATGGTGAGAATTCAAATTCCACTAAAACAAGGAAAATTCCAAGTTCCAAGAAATGCAATTCCATAGAAAACATAAGGTATCAAACACCAAAAGTTGAAATTTCCAATTTCAATTCCATCTTTTTTTTCCATTTCCATGCTATCAAAAACTCCCTTAGCTTTAACATGGTCACGGCTTATTCAATTAACTTCAAATTGCCTCTCAATAGTCATTGAACTTTCGATCATTGCACCACACACAACACTCACCAAATTCCATTACCATCAAAGCTGACGTGGTGGATGGAAAACACACGTGGAGGGTGACAGTCGTTTCAAGTTCGACAACTCACAGAACTCATTCACCTCACCTGAAAGCACGCACACAAAACAGGACATTTCGCTCCAAATCATTCTCATTCCAAATTCAATTAAAATTCCCCAAATCCATTCTCCTCCCCCACAACCCTAAATCGCATTCGATTCCTTTGCTACCCCACGCTCCTGCTGAACGGAAGAGCACTTGCATTGATATATTCAAACCACTCACATAGAGGGACCACATGGAGGTATAAGTCTTGACATTTTTACATATTTATGCATTGTTGTTTATCCTGTCTGTCATTGTAAGTGAAAACATCATCTTCTTGCGAAAATAATGTTTTTGTTTTGTAGTCGTTTCATTTCCCTATCGTACACCAATTTTTATATATCATTTTTTTGTGTGTGAAATATGAACTAATCGAATGTTTTAGGGTTATTCATAGAGCATAGGTTTCACTTGAAATGTGCAGTCTACTCTCAAAACGAGGAAGATTTAAACTTTATTACCTCTGTGAATGAGTTGGATTTGGAAGATCACGATGTCCTGTACAATGAGAATGTTACTGAAGGGATCGAAGTAGGAGTTGATGGGGATGATGAGCAAGACCCGGACTTCATTGATTCTGACAGGGAGTTAGATGTAGATGATGATGATGATGCTACGATATTCGAGTATAGTGTAACAGATGATGATGACCCTGACTTTGTTGCTTCTAAGAATGAATTGGACTTTCAATATAACATATTGTACGACTGTAATGTGACAAATGGGATTGAAGTTGGTCTGAATACAGATGATTTAGAACATGACAACGAGTTAGGGAATGCACATCCAGTTGAAGAAGGGTTTGAAGTGGGTGATGAATTGGGGGTATCTGTCTTCTGAAGAATTGATATCTGGTGATTCATGAAACGATGAGGTTTGCTGCAAGTTTCCAGAGTTTTTGGCCGAAACTCAAATGAGCAATCTGCAGTTCGAGGTGGGACAACTTTTCATGGATGTTGTAGAGTTCTGTAAAGCAGTAAGAAATTATGATGCAGTAAATGGCTATAATGTTAAATTCAAGGCCATTGATGCGAAAGAGTTTTGGGCGTTTGCAAAGATGGATGCAAATGGAGGATTTGGGCATTGTATATGGGTTACAAAAACGGGGTCCAAGTGCAATCATACAGTCTGGACCACACGTGCAGTCGACACCAATACAACAGGAATTGTAATTAATATTTCTTGGTGCAATGTTATATTAACCAATTAAAGGCTGACCCAAATTGGAAAAGAAGGAACATACTTGCCACGGTTAAAGAAGACCTAAAGACTTAGATTAGTAGGAACATTGCTTGGAAGATGAGGAGATGTGCAAACAAATTGTTGAATAGAACTAGTGAGGATTAGTTTGTGGCGTAAAGGTGCTATGGTTCTGAAATTTTATGTACAAATCCTGGGTCAACTGTCGTTATAGCGACCAATACTCAACATATATTCCATGGGATTTACGTTTGCTTCAAGGCTTGAAAAACAGGTTTTGTAGACGGTTATAGGAGGGTTATTGGAGTTGATGGGTGCCATTTGTGTGGAATCTTTGGTTATATACTGCTTACTACTGTTGGACACAATGCCAACGATTGTATATACCTTGTTGCTTATGTTGTTGTTAAGAAAGAAAACATGCTAGCATGGCGATGGTTCATGAAATATCTTTCTAATGATATTCAAATTGGTAGTGGCGACCAATGGACATTTATGACTGATCGACAAAAAGGTCTCCAAAATGTCATAAATGAAATGTTCCCTGAGGTCGAGCGTAGATTTTGTGTACACACATGTACACCAACTACTTCACAGCAGGGTATAAGGGCAAAACTTTGAGGGACTTTCTATGGAAAGCTGCAAAGTCAACAATGGTTGTTGACTTTATGCATTGGATGTGTCAGATTCGTAATGTAAGTTAAAGAGTATATGGATGGTTGATGGAAAGACCTGCACAAGAGTAGAGTGAGTCTCATTTCTTGGTGTTCACAAAGTGTGGCATCTTACTAAACAATGGCTGCGAGGTGTTCAATAAGATATTGTTGGAAGATCGAAAGAAGCTTAGTCTATCAATGCAATCGACGTTTATGACTAGAATACTGAAACAATGAGATATGATGTAGAGATACAATTGCAAGTTGTGTCCAGAGATTATAAAACGTGTTGATAAACTTGTGGAGGCTTCAAGAGAATGCATACTATATCTGTTGCAAGGTCCTAAATGGCAGGTTGATTGCAGCAATGGGACATACATTGTTGACCTTGAGGAGAAAACTTGTGCTTGTAGAAGATGGAAGTTGACTAGAATTCCTTGCATTCATGCAATAGCAGTGATATGGAATGTAGAAATGAACCGGAAGATTTTGTTGACAATTACCACATTGTTGACTCATACTTACGTAGCTACAACAACATCCTAAACCCAATTAACAGCAGGATGCTATGGTTCCACCAAAGTGGGAAAATACTGTGAAGGGCAAGAGGCAGACAGAGAGGATAAAATTGGTAGAAAAGATGATTGTACATTTATAAAGGAAATCATATGTGAGGAAGAAGGGTCAAGTTTCAATGACGTGTTCCATTTGCGGGCTACATGGACATTACAAACGTTACCACGACAAGAAAGATGTACCAAATAATGTGAGTGCATTCATTTTATGTCATATAATTTTAATATTTTCCAACAATGTTTACAATTGAAACTTTGAAATGTCTATTGCAGAATTGGTTTGAAGGAGAGATAGAACCTGTTGAATTCCCAAGCTCGCGTGATGTCACTCCAACGGTAAGTGCTTTTTCTAATACACCAGCCTCAACTCTATATAAATAGCTCAAACTGAAACTCCTATGTTTGTCATTCACCTTAGGGAAAATTGGCTCCAATAAGGAGAAGAAAAGCATCGTCGAGCCATGCATCAACCATAGTTGGAAATACTACCCAGTCCATGGACTCTAGGGTAGAGGTTCAGGAAAATGTGACATTGGAAGATACAGCTGTTGATTTCCAACAACTTAACGAAAGCGAGTCTTCACAATTACGGGCTGCCAGAGTTGAAGCTTGTTGAAACTCCAAGATCACCGTTGCTACTTCTAAACGCCGTGACTGATGATTTGGGATTTCGATCAACTACTTTTACTTTTGGATGACTTTAATGTTAGTTTTCTATTTAATGGCGTATGTTTTTTGAGAGATCAAACTCAAAATGATACTCAGGAATTTGAAAATGCAGTGCCGTTCAATTTTTTTATGAAACCTGTGATGAGCAAACTTGATTCTTAAGTGAATTACAGCGATGTTGAATGTTAGGAGTTCTTGTGTTATTCTTCTTAATGTAAACACTTGATTGACAAGAAGAGACAATGCAATACATTACGAGAACAAGTAATAGTTTGGGATCCAAAACAATGTCCACAGAAACGTTAAAATTCCATAGCATAACAACATCAAACTTGAACTACAACACAATACATATGCAACCATAGTTAACACCAACTAAAGCTTCCATTGTCCAGAGAAATGTTAAAATTGAACAACAATTGAAGCTTTCACCCAAAAGCCTGGAAAATATTGAAACTGAACAACAAGATCGCTTACTTCGTACAATAAAAACGAATAGCATAAAATATTAACAATGCCCACAAGCCTTGCTTATACAATTTCAGCTTCCTGTAAAACATACGTCTTTCTTCGTCATATAGATTCTTCAATCTTAATAGCCCGACGATAATAATCTTGTACCTCTCTTGCGGTTCATTGTCCAACAAATCAAAATAATTACATGCCTCTGTTTTCCCATAGAACCGGTAGCCATGAAATCATCGTTTAGGATTTCCCTCCGTCCAAGAAGTCTTAATCTTTGTTGAATAACCACAATAGCAGTGCTTTTCGTCAACAAACTGGTCGGAGTTTGATGACATGTGATGAGTGATTTACATTCATTATATTATGCCATTAATTTCATGATTTTGCTATCTTGGAAAGTATTTTAAAAGTGCTAACAAGTGATTTTGGTGTTGTTTTGTAGATTGATGGAAGTGGAGAAAACAAGAGCTAAAAGAGGTCAAAGGAAGGAAATAGTCAAAAGCTAACGAAATTGGATGAAATGACCAAAACGTAAGAGATCCAAAGTTCGAGGATTAAAATACAATTAATCAAAAGTCGTGTTGAAACTTGAAATGAAGATCCGAAAGTTCTAGAAGCCAATTGGATGAAGGAAATTTTGTAGATTGATGGAAGTGGAGAAAACAAGAGCTAAAAGAGGTCAAAGGAAGGAAATGGTCAAAAGCTAACGAAATTGGATGAAATGACCAAAACGTAAGAGATCCAAAGTTCTAGGATTAAAATACAATTAATCAAAAGTCGTGTTGAAACTTGAAATGAAGATCCGAAAGTTCTAGAAGCCAATTGGATGAAGGAAGGTGTCAAAGGGATCAAATTTAGTCAAGATATGATCATAAATCATTTTCCAACCAAAAAGTTTTGCGCCGAAGTTTTGGTCTCACATTTAGACTCATTTTTTACATAGAAAACGATCGAATTGGAGAATGATTTCTGAAGCAAAATTGTAGTCCTTTGAATTATCTTTCCAACTCATCTTGAATCACTTCAATCGGATATCGAATGAAAAAGTTACGATAAAAATACTGAAAGCTATCTAGTGCAACCGAAGTAGTCATCAGCGCCCAGGCGCCATGATGCTGAAATTTTGATAGAAACTCAGCGCCTCGGCGCCCAAATTGCAGCGCCCAGGCGCCGCCGTGCAAGAGTAATTTTTTTAGATTTTTACCATTCTTTTTCTGCCCAACTCATCTCCAAATCTTTCCCTAAACTCTAAGACATTATAAACACAGAATTGAAGACATAAATTAGAGGGGAGCCGCACACTAAAAATCTGTGGAATCAAGCCACGCGTTCTTGACATATTGGAGAGAAGACAACAAGAAGGGAGATTGAAAAGAGAAATTCAAGAAGATTAACACTAAACAATTGAAGATTAGAAGCATTCATTAGAAGGGGGAGGAGATCTTGGTGCAAGAATTCAACTTTTTCTTCTACGTCTTTATTACAAATCCGGTGATGTATTCTAAGATAATTTCCTATTTTTCTTCCATTATTATGAGTAGTTAAATTTGATTTTAGGGCAAACAATGTAACCTTTTGGAATCCTTTATTTCATGCAATTGAGATTCTAGTGCTTTTATATTTTATGTGTTGATTTTAATGTTGTTCTTAATTCATTTAATTAGATGATTTGTGAACAATGATTGCGTAGAGATGCGGATTATTTGTTTAGACCACATGTTAAAATTCGGTAAATTGATATAACGTATAGAGATACATATATTAATTGCTGCGGTCGTGTGTGAATTCTTAGAACCAATGTTTCGTTTAATTAAATTTAATTTGTATAGAGATATGGAATTAAACTAATTAAATAAGCTCAATGAGAATTCGAGAGGGGTAAGTTGAATACAATAGAAGAATTCGACCGAACACTATCTTAGGTTTTATGAATCTTGATTTATGAAGTAAAGGTGACCAATATGTGAAATTGTTCCGCCCTAACGTCCATTTATTGTTTGAATTCTTAATCACTTTTCGTTGCATCCAATCGCATTTTTTAGTCTTTAGAATAAAAATCACATTTAATCATTATTTTTGTTTATTTTCGTCAAATAAAAGTTAGAAATAATAAATTGGGTATTAAAAGTACAGTTCTCGTGGGAACGATAATCCGGACTCAAAAGGTTCACTTACTATTTGTTATGATCTGTTCACTTGCGGGATAAAATCGACAACAACATGTCTTCCGTTCAGCAGGAACGTTGGGGTAGTACAGGAATCGGACGGTCGCGTTTAGGGTTGTGGGGGAGGAGAATGAATTTGGGGATTTTTAATTGAATTTGGAATGAGAACGATTTGGCGGGAAATGTCGTGTTTTGTGTGTGCGTTTGCAGGTGAGGTGGATGAGTTTTGTGAGTTGTTGAATTTTTAAGGACTCTCACCTTCCACATGTGTTTCCATCTACCACGTCAGCGTCAATGTGGTGCAACGAACCAAAAGTTCAGTGACCATTGAGAGGCAATTTGAAGTTGAATAAGTTGTGATCATGTTAAAGTTCAAAGATTATTCAAACATTTTACTCCATTTCCAATTTCAACGATTATTGTGCCAAAAATGGGTTTTAGACAAATTTGAAGCATAATATTTCTTGGTTGAAAATTGAAGTATGATATATTTCACTCCTTTGGCGTTCTTCTCATCCAGTTGACATCTAACAGTTTCGAATTTTCATCTTTAGGTCTGACATAACTTTTAAGTATTTGTATCTTAGTTTTTGAACTTTGGATCTCTTACAATTTAGCCACTTTTCACCATTTTTCTACTATTCTACCATTTTCGTAGATTTATACGTAATAAATACAATACACATAAATTTAATTCATAATTCATCAATATACAAGTCCACGTTATGAGTAAATTAAAATCAAATTTTAAGTATATTTTGATAAAAATTGATTAAATGTATGATTAAAAAATTACGAATTTGATGAAATATATAATTAAAATTAATTGTTGACTTTAACTTAAAATTTTTAGTATATATTAGTTTGTATCAAACGGGCTAATACTCACCATTACGTTTTGTAGTTTTGTTAAGGTTAAATCATGGTGGCATAGTTAAGTATCATCAATTGATATTATTTATTACATTGAGTAAGCAATATTAAGGAATTAAGATTTGGAAATTAATCACGTTAGAATGAGGAAACGTTATGGACTATAGTTTTGGTAATTCTGTTTTTGGATAAATCTTATGGTAAATGCCTTTTATTATTATTATTATTATTATTATTATTATTATTATTATTATTATTATTATTATTTTGCTGATTTTTCATAGAAAATAACATCGTTAGTTAAACGTTGACAATTGCTAGCGTCATGTAGAATTAATTATTCAATATTTTAATTGAGTGATCTCTAGTATAGTATTTAAAAACTTGAACAACAATTATAGTAAGAAAAAATAATATAGTTGTTGACACATAAAAATTCAGCCCAAATCGAACGGCCCAAGAAATAAAGCCCAATTGGAGGATCCCCAAATCAGATAACCCAAATAACGAAGCCTAATCAAACAATTCAAGATGAAGGTCCAAATAGGGAGGCCCAAGAACGCGGTAACACCATCGCTCAAGTTTGCAAGTCGCCCAGAATCTGAGCGAATGGAGTGTCATGCAGTCGTCCAGAGCTGTTACTCTATTCTCGCCCAAACCTTCAAGTCGCCAAAGGTCTTAGCGAACATAAAGTGTTGTGGTTATCAAGAAGTGCAGTTATCAAAACAGTTATTAAAGCAGCCCTATCACGTTCCACGATTCAAGGAATTCAATCGAAAACGGTTGAACGACGAAAAGTAATGGCAGCAGTTAAAAAATGCAGTTCCATGACAAGTTGGCCATTACGAGGAAAGTGGGTAGTTGTAGAACGATCAAACAGTTTTTAGGCGGTTGATCACAAAGAGATCATCCAGGGAGTATAAAAGGAAGAAAAGACATGGAGCAAAGGACCGAATCAAAAACTCTCGAATAGAGAACATGTAGTTTTAAATTCCTTAACTTAGATTTAAACACTTCTTTTAGTAACTCGTGTGCTTGTGTCCCTTGGAGACATTCTGTTTTTAATTTTCGATTGTAAAGTTATCGCCAATAAAGAACACCCCTTTTTGAGACTTTGTTTCAAGAGATTTGTCCCTTACACAATCTTCTGATCCCTTTTAATTGTTAGCGACTAACCCACGCGAAACAATTTGACACGCCCAGTGAGACGGTGGTGTTTGGTGTTGAAAATACAAAAGGGGAAACAATATGCCTCAGAGATCTGATAAGGAAGCAGCAAGTCAGGGAGGAATCCAATCTGTGATCGAGAGATATGAGGAGCAGCATGCCTCTCCACGAACAGATGGACAGAATCAGAGCAGTAACAGTCGTTACGAACCAATGACAGAGTTGAGTCCTCAAACCATGCGTGCATTACTTGGAGAACTCACATAAGACGTCGTTGAACAGGTAAATCTTCGAAGTATTCATAATATGGAAATATTTACCCAAAATGGGAATGCACATCATGACAACATGGCCAAGCAACTAAACACTTTGAATGAAACAATGAATAAGTTAGTAGACCAAATATGTCAACCGGTTATGCCTCTTGCAAACCACTTTCAAACTAAGACAATTGGGGACATAATCCCTCAGTCCTAAATCCGAATCAAGGGGTAGAACCACTTTCTGGTCCCTCTACC